CACATCTGGGTCTGGGAGGGGGATTTTGGTAGAAAAACTGAACAGATATCACTGCTGGTGTACATCCTGCACTTCCCACCTGTGAGCACCTAGGAAAGAACATTGCACAAGGCTAGCATTCCAGAAGGAGGCCTTTTTTATCCACCCAAAGCTGCTCACCAGAACACTCCCCCTCACCTACATGCCCCTCTCAGCAATTCACCAATTTGGCCCCCTCCACAAGGACAAAACTTGAGACAAACACCCCCCTCTGACACCAGTCAGGCTGTGAAGGCACAGAAATTCTGCTCCACTCATGAAATAGCAAATAAATGAACAGTGAAATGGCAAATAAATGAACTTTTCAAAATCAACCCTAGGTTGAGAGACCCAGGGTTGATATTTGAAAGTGGCCACTACATGGAATTTCCATGCTCCTTCCTCTTGGAAGGGGACAACTGAGTATCACACCATCATCTTATTTCTTTAGATATTTCCCTGAATAAAGAATATGAGAAAACAAGACTGCTCTGCTCATTACTTCCAAACATCTTCCCTGGGAAACAACCCAACATCAAAATATTTCATCATCACACTCCCAAGCATCTAAAAATTTCTGCTTGTCTGGCTGTTTGTGGCTCCATGTTGCCCTTCTCCTGAGGTTTCTGCTGCCTCTAGACACAGCCACAGGCACAAAAATGCCCTTTTTTGTCTCCAATAACACTATAGTGCCCAGTGCTGAGCCCCTGGAGCTGTGACACAATGACTTTTCTTTTTTCAAGGTATTTACAATTACATAGATTGCTTGAATCTTTTTTCTAGCATTCATTTTAAAGCTCAAAGTGTTTCATCTTCCCTCCCTTCCTGTACATTAGGACCTCTCATTACTTCTCATGCATTTAGCAATTATTTTAAAAATTCTTCTTTCCCCAAGATTGTCCCCATGGTGAAGCAGTTGGGAATGCTCCATGAGCTTTGTCCACCTCATCACCTCTCTGATGGATTCCTCCTCACCTCTGATGTTCCTCTTAGAACTACAAAAACCCCTGCCCTCAATCCCACCAGCAAGCAGCCCTCAGAGCAAAGTTGTGTTGTTTGACCCACTCAAACCTTCCAGCTGAAAGGAATTATCCTCTCCCAGCTCAAGAAACTTTGTGGGGTGAGCACAGCAGTTCTGAAACCTCAACGCTTCATACTGCCTCGCAGACATCTTTTATGAAAAATCCTTTCCTTAGGATTTTTCCTCCTGAGAATCTGAGAGGCCTCAGGAACAAAATGTAAACAATGGTTATCTGCTGCTGTGGAATGCAGCAGGTGCATCTGTGATTGGTCTCATGTGCTTGTTTCTAATTAATGGCCAATCACAGTCAGCTGGCTTGGATAGAGAGTCTGGGACAGCTGCCTTTGTTATTTCTCTCTTTTCTATTCTTAGCTAGCCTTCTGATGAGAACTTTTTCTACTATTCTTTTAGTATAGTTGTAATGTAATAGATATCATAAAATAATAAATCAAGCCTCTGAAACATGGAGTCAACATTCTCATCTGTTCCCTCATTTGAAAATCCCTGTGAACACTGTCACAATACTGAGCTGAATAAATGCGAATGGTTAACACTGAGCTAACAAAAAATCTCCCAATGCAAATGAAACCAAATAGCCCAAACTCCTGCCTAAATCTTACACTTCCAAGTAGCCAGAAGTCCTACATCAAATAGCCCAAACTGCTGCATCCCATATTTCCTTGTGTGATCCCAGGTCAGGGACTGGAAGTATCCATGACAGAGTCCACCTGATCCACATCAGCTCCTCATTTTCATTTAATCCTGGGAACCTGAGAGCTCTGATCACAGTGTCACCATGCATCAAAAATTCATCTCCACATCCCACAAACTGTCTTTCAAACCATCATGCTTCAGAAGAAATTCCAGGAGAATTTGATGTTCAGAATATTCCCATCGATTTATGAACGCAAAAGCTGAAATCAATTCTCATCATCATGATTTCAGTTTTGCTATGAAAATGAATTGAAAATATGGAACAGGTTTGTGCATTTATTTATTTGCATGTTAAATACATCAGCTCAATGGCAGCCCCAGTTGAACTGGGGAATTGTGATGCACTGGTTTCAACAGAGATTTCAGGGCACAGAGTGAAGTTTGCCTGGGCTCTACAGGTGGAATGAAACTACAAGGGAAAAACCTGACAGAAAACAAACATTCCAGCGTGCTCCTTAAATGTAGCTGCCCCTTAATGTATTATTACAGCACAGAATCTATTAATCATGGAATTATAGAGTCCCAGAATGGATTGGGTTGGAAGAAATTCCCTTGATTTTTTACCTTTTTTTCCCTTGTTCATCAATAAAGACTGATCATTGAGTTTCTATTCCATCAAAACCTGCCATTTTTATATTTTAATTTTAAGAACATTTTGGGCATCATTGAGGAACTGACTTTACTGAGAAGGCACTGACAGATCCCTTCAAGGCCTGGCTGACTTTGGGGTGTCAGCACAGCACCTTGGGACACAGGCAAGCAGAGCATCCATGCCCACCTCCTGCTGTGTCAGGAGAAGATAAAGCCCCACAGGACATCCAAATGATTGGAATGTTAATAATTGTCATTTATTCAAAGCCTTGACTGAAAATATAATTTCAGACAACCAGAAAGAAATCAGACCCCTCAATGACATCATCATCCTCATCCATGCCACTGTCACCACACCCCCACAAGGGTTAAATGATTTTTGAGATCATTCCAGCCCCAAATGAGCTCAAGCTTGGCATGCACAAGATTAGAGGGGAGAAAAAAGGCCACTCTAAATTATGCTCAGCAATGACACATTGCAGTTTCAGAAACTCAGGAACATAAATCAATATTAAGTTTCTGAGCTCTCTTGACAAGAAAAACCATCATATAATTACAGAATCAAATGAGAGACATGCCCACGTTGTAAGTATTTGTAAGCAAGTTGATAACAGTCATACTTTAGAAACAAATATCTCATTTACAAGCCAATTTGAGCAATATAAGCTGCCAAATTGAGCCTGAAGCCTGAAACCCAAAGTCTGCAGGAAGAAGCTAGTCCTCTAATTTCCTGCATGACTGGAGACACAAAAGTAAGAACAAAGTGTCATTCTATTAAGGCTCAGAAAGCATGCTTTTAGAACTCAGGTGGGGTTTAATTCCTTGGCTTCCAGACTTCTAGAAACAAAACTTAAAGCAGCTCAGTGCTGAGGCTTAATGGGCTGAAGGCAATCTGTGTTAATGGAGTCCACTCTGGAGTGGAGTGGATTTGCTCCTCTCTGTGCCTTTAGCTTGGAAATAGCCAATATTTCTTTCTTCACTTTATTATTAGTAACTGTAGGGATGGGAAATTATTGATCCATCTAAGCTGTCATCTTGTTTAAACTTCAGACTACTCGTGTGCTCCAGGGACTTTGGTTGTTTGTCCTAAATTAAATAATTGTTAGGAACTCAAAGGGATGAAACCGTTCCTCCCCTAATTACGCATTTCATGCCTTGCTAAACCCCTTAACAAAATTGAGTCAGTGGCTTGTGGCTGACAGGGCATTATTTGTGGGGAAAATCAGCCCACACTTGAGTGGCTAAATTGACAAACAACCAAGCTGAAACCTCCTGATTTCAACAGCAACTGATTATCTTGAACTGATCTTTGAAAGTGGCCACTACATGGAATTTCCATGCTCCTTCCTCTTGGAAGGGGACAACTGAGTATCACACCATCATCTTATTTCTTTAGATATTTCCCTGAATAAAGAATATGAGAAAACAAGACTGCTCTGCTCATTACTTCCAAACATCTTCCCTGGGAAACAACCCAACATCAAAATATTTTATCATCACACTCCCAAGCATCTAAAAATTTCTGCTTGTCTGGCTGTTTGTGGCTCTGTGGTGCCCTTCTCCTGAGGTTTCTGTTGCCTCTAGACAAAGCCACCAGCACAAAAATGCCCTTTTTTGTCTACAATAAAACCATAGTGCCCAGGTGCTGAGCCCCTGGAGCTGTGACACAATGACTTTTCTTTTTTCAAGGTATTTACAATTACATAAATTGCTTGAATCTCTTTTTTTGGCATTCATTTTAAAGCTCAAAGTGTTTCATCTGCCCTCCCTTCCTGGACATTAGGACCTCTCATTGCTTCTCATGCTTTTAGCAATTATTTTAACAATTTTTCTTTGTTTTTCCCCTCACTAAATATGGTATAATATGAGATATAAATTCACAATAGGCTGTATTTACCTGGTTAATCCCCACAGCTTTAAAGAGAAATACAAGAAAATACACGAACCAAAAGAAACACATTCAGGTTCCCAGCTGTGACAGCAGCAGATCAATGTTTGCTGTGCCATCTTGACTTAAGTATCTTTCCTATGATCATTTCTCCAATTTATATTCATTACAGAACACCTGCCAGATCTGTTACCCAAATTATTTGGTGTCCCTGTTGTATCCCCCAACGTGTGAAACCACCTCTTGTGCAATCAAAGCTCAAGTCTGCTTTGAGAATCACCACATAAAAAAAGATTGATTTTCATCTTGGAAATGTCAGACTTGTGCCTATAATGCTCAGCTACATTTCTCAGGAGCAGTAAAGTTCAAAAAAGAGCCCCAGCCCTGACACATCTCCGACACATCATGATGGATGTGACAGTTCTGCTGCTTTACTGCCAGAAACGTCCTGCTACAGAATGAGGCAATCAATGGAGGATAATAAATCTATCCCAGACCCCAGAACTATTTTTTGTACATGCAGAACAGCAGAAATGACACATTAGTTATACCTCTGGAGGTAATAAACCATCACACTTTTCTTTACTGTTGCAGAATTCCAGTTAAACAATTTAATCTTTACCTGTTTTATCTGTTCAACGCTTCGCCATCACAACTCCCAATATGCATTTTCAAATTATTGATGGAGTGAATTAAAAATAAAAAGAAAAAAGAGAGAGGGCGACAATTGAAGACACACTTTCCAGTTAAAAGAAGAAGTTTTCTTACCATTTTTTCTGGTCCCTCTGTCAGCCAGGTGAACAACTGCTGCTCCAAAGGAATGTGCTGAATTACGTTCCCTTCATCCTGGAACACATTGCTCCTGATTAATACTGACTCAGAAATTTTACCTTGACTGCACAGCACAAATACATTTCATTTCCCTTTTTTTTTTTTGGAGAAGCCCCGTGTTTGAGATAAATTACAGCAAGTTTTGAAAAGTTAATTTGACGTGCATAAATCAAGGCTTGGCAGAGAAAGGATCGGTTTGATTTATAACTAATGCCTTTGAGTGTATTCTCCTACCTATCCTTCAAGTAACAGCCTTGATTTCAGCAAGAGGGAATATACTTCAAAATAAGTATTTTCTGAGGTCATTTGACCACACCAGCAACAAAACAAGCCCAGCTGTGCCAAACACGGTGATTTAAAATACATGAGTTCATTTCAAATTTTCACTACACAGATGCAATAAATTTGAAAACTGTTGCAGGACTAGATTGATGGTTCCTTGTGCTTGTGTATGATTTCCAAAATACATCCATGGATCACTGTCATAATTCTATTTCTCCCATTATTCTATACATTCATAAGCACACAGACAATATTTAATGCTGTACTGAGTTTGGATGAGGCAAAGCACACAGCACAAGCAGGTATGTGACTAAAGCTCTCTAAAACTTAGAATTAGGAGGAATTCAAGGACCAAAGATCTTTATTAATTTGGCTTTCTCCTAGGCTATTCCTAGTTTTAAAGGCAGGAAGATCCTGATATTCTCTCTATCTTGCCCCCTGAAGGGCTGCATTTATAACCAGGCTGAGGAAGGAACAAGAAGAAAAGTTTATTTTGCTTTTGCACAAACCTTAAATGAGTTCATAGACCTGTAATGGGAACCTGGCTGTGAGGAAACAGGGTAGGAAATGAGTTTGGATGACACCAAAATCCCTCCTGACTACTTGGTGGTGGCCCTTTGCTCCTGAGGAGTCCCCATGAAATTTTGGAGGCAAAAAATAAGAACAAAAAGCAAATTTTAGCATGTCTGTGCTTGGACACAAAGCAATCTCACCCCACCAAAGAACTGATCATTTATTTTTGTGTGTGGCCTTGTTGTCCCCATGTCAGACACAGCTTCACTCTCCTGTTTTTGGGAAGGGCAGGGAGGGAAGGAATTCTCTCAGAGCACACAGGGGAACTCCAGCAGGATCAGGAGCTGCTGGCCATGGCTGATGAAACGTTCCCATGACAATCCCTCTCATCTGTGCATCTCACAGCTATTTCCAGCAAGCGTATTTTGGACTTTTTGTCCAAGTGAGAACAACAATGCATTTCCTGAGGAAATCAAAATTAGCAGGAGCAGTGCAGCACTGCTTTGTAGCTGCTTCTGACAATTAATAAATTAATATTATGTGGTGAGGGAAGAGACTGAAAATAACTCAAATGGTTATTTCTCTTCAAGCTGGATGATGATTTTTTTAGAGTATTTTCTCTGAGATTCAGTGAAATGCTCTGAAAATACTTTGTAGGTAACAGTTCATTTAAATAGAAAGCAATAGCTCTAAAAAAAGAGTAAGATCTGGGATTTTTTTTTCCCCTAGGAGCTAAAATAACATTTGGAGCGTTCTTTAATTTTTTAATGATAGGAAAATATTTTGCATTAATATAATGATGTTGCTCATTATACCCGAAGCTATTTTTAAATTTCCCATAACTGGCATAGCAGTTCACCTAATCATCTCTAATTTTAATGCAATCCTTTTAATTTCTGATAGAAACCTAATTTTTTAAACAAATGTTAAATAAATAGCAAGTCTGGAATCGGTACAGCTCCTGCAGCATTGTGCCATTCCCAACCACATGAAAACACTCTGTAATATAAAATTATTCATTTTCAGTCACCATTCCAGCTCAAAAACCTGTAAAAACTCACCAGATTATCTTTCAGCAATAAAAGATTTGAATACATTGTCTTGATTAGCCAAGATTCTTTAACTTCTTTCATGTATTATTAGCTCAACTCAGATTTTCCAATTTCATTGGTGGTCCTTGACAGAGGGAAAAAAGGAAGGATTTTCTGGGCAAGGAAAGGAGCAGGGTGGTCTCAGGTGAGGCAAGGGCTCTCAGAGATCAGAGAAATTGAAATTCAATCTTCCAGCCCCTTCATGATCAGCTGACCTGATTTGTGCACATAAATGAGCAGTAGGGATTTAATTCCAAGCCAAAGGAAGTGAATGAAAGGATTGTTTGGTTGTTTATTTTGGTGAGTTGGAGAATTTCTGTCTGGAATCACAGAATCCTGGGTTGCCAGGGTCTCATGAGGACCCAGTCCCACACCTGACCCTGCAATATTGCCCTTTTTAGGGTAATTTTGTCTTTCAAATCAGTGCAAGGGCAACAGCATGAGCAGAAGTTTAATCAGCATCCTCCCTCAGCTCCTCTCACCGAATTTTGCTGATTGTGATTCTAAATGCTGCTGAGATTCAGCTCCTAAAAATGTGTCATAACAACTCCAGCAGCACTGACACCCTGACCTTCAACTCTAATTAATTTTAACAGACATGGCTGTGTTTTGAAAAACTAAAAAAAATAAAGATCTGCCCTGCTCTTTTCTAAAACAAATACAAAGGGAAGAGTCAGCCTACTGAATACACATAATCAGATTCACAACCAAAATAAAGTTATTAAAATGGCTTCTCCTTATTGTGCTTTAAGAAAGGGGTTTTGACCATGGGCACGAAAACCAGACCACAAAAAACCAACCAAAACCAAACCAAAACTCACCACAACAGTGCTACACTAAGGCTACATTAAAAAAAAAATAGTTTCAAACTAAAAGCAAACAAGATCTAGATAAGTTTCATGTAATTTTCACATTTGTAGTAACTTTTAACTGTATAATAAAATGAACATTTTTTGCTAAACCTTTCTGAGACCTCACACTGCAGGATCACCTTTAACTTTTAAAGTCACTGTAGAGTCATCTAAGTCATGTTGAAAACAAAACTAATCACCCAATTAATTCAAGACCATAAATAATGACTTTTTTTTCTTAGTGAGATTAAAAATACAGTCTATTCTAGGTCAGCCATGTTTTTATAGCTACAAATAATAACATTAAGGCCTTGTAGGAAATAAAATAGATTTGGAATTAAAACCCATCCTTTATCCAGAGTCACTCAGTGACTTTACAGATTTTAACACAGAGGTTTTCTTTTCACTTTTCTGTAGTGTCTACTTAAACTAATGTGACTGTGAGAGACTTCAAATCAGTGAAAGACTAAAATCCCACAGACTCCTTTCTTTCATTGATCTCAGCCTTGTGAAGAGCCTGTGGCTCAGAACAGCCCAGGAGAGGTGGAATTGTGAGAGGGGATAAGGCACTGTGGCATTTCATGATAAAAATGTTTTCACTCTCCAGGAGATGAGGCAATTAAAAAAAACCCAACCCTTTTTACATCCTTTAAACACAGTTTGCATGGGTCTCCCTTCCTCAAGAGAGAGAATCTATTCCTTGGGTAGGAGAAACAAATCTGGGTTGTGCAAGGGCAATGAGTGAAGAGCTCTCTCCATGAATATCCACCTACTCAGACACAGAATAACCAGCTCCTGAGGCAGCAAATGAAATCCATCCCTTCAGCAGCTATGAAACACAGAACACTAAATAATTCAGCTCCCAAACACTAATTACAGGATGTTGGCAGCAGGAGCTGCCAGCCCTGAGGATGCAGAGATGACCCCAGGATGTGCTGATGCTCCCTCTGACCCTGCTGCAAACTGGAAAATGAGCCCTGCCCTAAAGAAAGGTGCATGGCCATGATGAGGGGGGCTTTATAAAGAATTCCCACTGTCCTCAGCTTGAAATTCTTGGGAGTGAAGACAATTTCCTAGAGCACATTGAGACCACCCGAGTGTCGCAGACATCTTTTATGGAAAATTCTTTCCTTAGGATTTTTCCTCCTGAGAAGCTGAGAAGCCTCATGAACAAAATGTAAACATTGATTATCTGCTGCTGTGGAATGCAACAGGTGGATCTGTGATTGGCTCATGTGGTTGTTTGTAATTAATGGCCAATCACAGTCAGCTGGCTCGGGCAGAGAGCCCAAGCCACAAACCTTTGTTATGATTCTTTGCTATTCTATTCTTAGCTAGCCTTCTGATGAAACCTTTTCTTCTATTCTTTCAGTATAATGTTAATGTAATATATATAATAAAATAATAAATCAAGCCTTCTGAAACATGGAGTCAGATCCTCATCTCTTCCACAATCCAAGACACCCTGTGAACACCATCACACCTGAAGAAAGTGTTCCAGTCCCTGCTCAGACAAGGATTAATGCTGTTGCTCCTAACAGGAAAAAAATCACCAGAAATTCCCACCCTGTGTGAGGTAGGGCAGTGGCAGACAAAACCAGCAGCTCTGCATCACACACAGGACCACAAAGTAAATATTCCCAGAATTCCAGAGCAGCTGGGGCTGACAGGAGCATCTGGAGATCACCCAGTCTAATCCCCCTGCCAGGCAGGGGCACCTGGAGCAGGTGCCACAGGGACACGTTCAGTTGGGTTTGGGATGTCTCCAGAGAGGGACACTCTCCCCAGGCAGCTGTTCCAGGGCTCTGCCACCATCTATGGAAAGTTCTTCCTCATGTTGAGATGGAACTTGTGATGTATGGCCCCTGCTCCCCATCCTGTCACTGGCACCACCTCTGCCAGCCCCTGGAGATGTCTGTGTGGATTGATGGGATCCCCCTCAGCCTTCCCTGCTCCAGACTGACCAGACCCAGCTCCTGCAGCCTCTCCTCATCAGAGAGATGTTCCAGACCCAAAATCATCCTCGTAGCCTCTCCTGGATCCTCTCCAGCATCTCCTTGAGCTGCAGAGCCCACAGCTGGACACAGCACCCCAGATGTGCCTCACTGGGCAGGGCAGAGGGGCTGGATCCTCCCTGACCTGCTGGCCATGCCCTTCCTGATGTCCCCAGGACCATGGAAAGTTCTTGCTCATGCTGAGGTGGAACTTGTGATGTTTGGCCACTGCTCCTCATCCTGTCACTGACACCATTCTCTGCCAGCCCCTGGAGATGTCTGTG